CTTCCTTTTCTTCCTGCTTCATTTCTGTTTTATAGTCGGCTGCCAACAATTATTCTTCTGTACCTTCTATTTCCTGTTTCTCTCTTGTCTCCATCTTGTTTTCCTGCTTTCTTTTCGAAGTCTTCTTCTTTTTCTTCCTCCTCTTTTTCTCTTCTGATTAAATTTTTTCTTGTACTTTCGGTTTATCCTCTACAGTCATATTGATTTTTTTATGTTTTTCCTGTTCATTTATCCTTTCAGAAATTTTTTTCATATCTGTTTCCTTTCCTTCTTCTGTGTTGTCTGGTTCTGCTCTGATTTCCAGTTTATTTTCCGAAAAATTAATGGAGACATGTTTTTCCCTCAATTTATCAAGTCCTGCTATCATATCATGATTTAAATCTTCGATCACATAGCATAATAATATATATATATATATATATATATATATATATATATATATATATATATATTATATATATATATATATATATATATATATAGTTTGAGTTTAGTTCTTGAATCTTAATATATATTTTTTAGTGGATTCTCTTGGGCTTAGGTTCATAAAAAAAAATTTAGTTTGATACTAAGACATTTTTATATATATTTTTTCCGACGTTTCGGCAGGAAATCCATGCCTTTTTCAAGAATATATATTGACTAAAAAAAACATTCTATGACAGACATAATATGGTTTAAAAAATAAACTTTTGACTTACCAAGCATGTAAAGATTTGGTGTTAACAATTAGACGTCACAATTAAAATAATATTAAAACATAGGACATACCCACTAAGTCACTAAAAGTAAAATGTATTTTAAATCTAATGTGTTGTTTATTGATGTTAGCTTATCGTTTAAACAATCAGTTATTTTAACATCATAGGCGTTCTGAGATTGACTTATGTATATTTAAATTAAGTTAAAATATATTTTGTTCAAATTTTTGACATCTTTTTTATCATTTATTGCGTTATTATTTTTTTTTTATTTGTATAGACTCTAGAAGCTCTCTCTTCTTCCTGTTGGGTTCACTTTTTAGGATCTTGGTTTGCTCAAAATCAAATTTATGTTTTTTTTCTCGTTTTCATGTTTTGTGAGGGCGGTTGAGTTTTTTTTGTCATATTTGTGGGAACGTATTCTTGAATTAAGTAGTTGACTGGTTTGTCGAATATAAACTCCATCACAATTCGAGCAGGGAATTTCATATACAACATGTGATCTTTTTAATAGAGGGGTTTTTGTTTTCAATCTTGTAAAATTCCTTTTCAAAAGATTGTGACCTTTATGAGCAACCGTAATATTATGTTAAGACAGAAGATTTGCTATTTGTTCTGATAATTCTTTTATATAGGGGAGAGACATATAGTTTTTCTTTATCGTGTTGGTTTTATTATTATTATTGTTATTGTAAAATTTATGCAGTCGCGATTTGAAAGTGTTGTCGATAAGGTGGTGTGGGTATGAATTAAGTGTAAGTGCTGTTTTTGCTTTTTTTAATGGCCTGAGGTCTATTGATAGGATCGGATAATCTAATAGCTCTATCAGCGAGTCCGATAACTACTGATTTCTTCTGAGACAGGGGATGATGAGAGTTGAAATTTAGATATCTCGACGACCAGGTTTTTTTGGTGTACCATGAAGTAGTTATAGTGCTGTTTTCTCTATGCAAGGTCAGGTCCAGAAAATTAATTTGATTATTTTTTTCAATTTCTAATGTGAATTTTAGTTTTTGGTGAAAGTTATTGAATTCATTTAGTAAATTATCCATTTTATCCTCTGGTGCTGCACTCAAGCAGTCATCTATATAGCGATAGAAAAAAGGTATATCAAAATCTATTTTATTTAAAACGATTTCTTCTAGATGCTCTAAAACTAATTGAGCGATGGCACTAGATATGCTAGCACCCATAGCACATCCATCTGTTTGTTGGAAGATTTTGTTTTTATATTGGAAATAGGTTGACTTTAATGTTGTTTCGACTGCTAGCAGAAATTCTTCTAGAGGGATATCTGTGAACGCTTTGATTTCGTTCCACTTTTTTTTAATTATGTCTTTCGCTAAAGCTATTGGAATATTGGTGTATAAAGATACCACATCGAGAGAAACTAATTTATAGTTTGGAGGTAAATGTATATTTTTGAGTTTTAATTTCAGATGATCAGCGTCTTTTAAATAGTGTGGATTTTTATTTATTACGTTGGAAATAATGTTTTTCAAATACTTTGAAAGGTTTTCAAAAGGAGACTGAATACATGAAACAATAGGTCGCAGCGGCACACCCTCTTTATGTGTTTTAGGTAGACCGTATATTTTTGGAATTACAGCATTATGTATCTTGAGGGAATTAGCAGTGTTTGGTGAGATGTAGCACATTTTTTCCCATCTGTCGACTAATTCGTTGTTTCTTTTTTGAAAAATATTCGTAGGGTCATTTTTCATTTCACGGTATGTTGTATTGTCATTCAATAGAGAATCCATTTTACTGTCATAGTCTTCGGACTCCATAATAACAGTCTTGTTAGTTTTGTCAGGTTTCAGAACAATTAAATTGGGGTTCTCGTTTAAAAAAGCTTTTGTCTTTTTTATTTTCTTTTGTATTGTTTTGTTTTCAAATGGGTATTTGTTTTTGTTTTTAAAGTTTGTCAAAATGTTGCAATATTTAGTTCTGATATCATTCTGTATATTGGTACTTAAGTTAGCAGTTGAATTTTTATACAAAAAAAAGAACAAATCACACAATTAATGTGCAAAAGAACTAAGAGATCAAAAATGTACTTCCAACAGTAAATCAATAATTAGGATTTTATTCTCTGAGCTTCTCGACTGCTGCCGTTGAAATGAAAGGCAACCAGGTGTTATAACGCCACAAACGTGAAAAGACAGATGGCTTGAGGTCAACGCGTAACAGATCAACAAGGCGTATTAATACCTACTCTAATACAGTAGAGAGGTTTATTTGAAAAATATGATAAATTTGGTCGACAACCCGTTTGTATAAACCAAAAAATGAAAGGAAAACAAAGAACAAATAAGAGAGGTCAATCAAAAATCATATATAAATAGTCTACGTTGTGACTGGTTAGCCAGCCACAGGCGAAGGATGATTAAACTTCCAACAGTCCAAGGTTCATAACATTTGGAACTGAAAATTATTGGGGATTCTATGAATCATTTATGGTAATAAATTTATATTAAACTATTTGAATAAAAACAATTAATACAATTATCCAAAAGCAAAGACATTAGTCATGCAGTGTACGAAATGTAATGTAAGAAATTATTATTATAGTTTATTTTATTTATTTGAAAATTATTTGAAAAGAAATGTAAAGAAAACACCTTAGGTGACAATTTTTAAAGTAAATAACATGGTAAGCCTAATTCTGCAATGTTAGAGCATGATAAATCTGGCTCAAGTTACTAATGTCAGTTCTCTTATTAAGAGTGTTAGGGTGTTTAAGTATATAACACATTTCTAAAAACTGTCTTTTAACGAGATTGCGTTCAGAACCAAGAATCTTAACTTTTAACATATATTTATATATAGGTATATCGATGAAAGACAAACGTAAATAAGTATTTGTGACTATTTGGTCATCAGTAGCCAAGTTTTAAAAGTATCATGTTAACTTTGGAAAGGATCACTACAGGAGCAATGCGACCAATTTGTGGAAATAGAGTTAAAAGACTCTGTTGGTTTAAAAGGCAATTACTAACAATAACCACGGAGAAAGCTACAGCTACCTGAGTAAATGAATGCCAAATGTTAAAACATTCAAAACAAATAGAAAATGTTAATGCCAGTGAATCATGAAGATAAATTGTAATGGCATATCTCTCAAACCAAAAAACAAAAGGTGTGTATAAATGGAAGGCAACCGTAAATACCAATTTTTATTTGGTCGTCATTACCACATCATCAGTGCTTCCTCCGTGGTTATTGTTATTTGTTGCCCAAGAAACCATTAGGGTCTCCTAACTTTATTGCAAAAATTGGTCGCATTGCTCCTGTAGTGATGCTTTGCCAAGTTAACATGCCACTTTTATAACTTGGCCACACCGTACTGATGACAACTTTCTTTAGGTGCCGTGTCCGTATTCAGACGTTGACCATCATCATTTATATCCTGAAACCGTTTTCTATCGTCTGCTGTGCCAATTCTTTCCTTTACTGTGGTTGTGGAACCACACCATTGTCTAAAATTACACAGCTATAAAAGTTTCTTTTGACCAATATATCTTTTTTCCTCCATTTTTTCTTGTATTATAAGGCGGGGTAGATGGTATTTGGGCCCTCTAATTATATGACCGAAGTATTCTGTTGTTCTTCTCTTTGTGACGTTTGTGATCTGAATTCATCATTGGATGTGTGTCAAACCCATGGTATTTTTAGGATCAGTCAATTCAATTTTTGAATGCTTCTAATTTGTTAAACATTGTGGTTTTTAATGTCCATGTGCCATAACAATAAAACCATTAACCATAAAAAAGGATAGACCCCACATAACATTTCAGGACCTTCTTACGAACATGTATCGACATGTTTCTGTTACATAAAACTTGTTTTCAGGTCATAAAAGCCTTACGTAATATTTCGATCCTGGTTATTATCTCTTGGTTTGATAATAATGACCAAATAGTCAGAGATACGTGTTTACGGTTGCCTTTCATCGATATATCTATATTGTTTTTTGTTTTTCTTTTTGTGAGACATGCTATTACATTTTACCTTTATTATAATTGTCATAATCATATATAATAGGTTAAACATGAACTACTTATAGATTAATGATGATAGGGAACATCCTAATTAAAGGATTCCTTAAGTACAATAATTATTGTCGATACACTAAGTTTGACATCTAATTTCATGCAAATCGCCAATGCTAATTGAACATCAAGAAAATAGTGGGAGGACATGCTAGATTTCGGCATAAACCATAAGTATTTAATCGAATTCGAAAAGTCACTTACCCATAACAACTCGTCGTCTTGTTCCTATAACATACCAAAGATGAACCAAGTAAGAGATCAATTAGATTTTAACCTACAATTATAAAAAACGGTGAAATCTGTAATTAAATTATATTTGCTGATTGCACAGAATAGGGTAATGTTTATTGTAATACTGTGGTACACACGTGGATTTTTTTTATTTTTATCACAACTTATGTAGTTAATAATAGTAGAGTTTCTTTTCGTCGTTCCTTATCATTCTGATTCCAAATTGTTCTATATTTATACATTTGTTCAGTTGTTTAACCTCTTGCTAACAAATTTAGTTCGTTCAATACATTTTTGTCTCTTTACATTCCATATAGTATCTATGTAATTTTCTATTTCTGGTAATTTTGTTCTGATGTGTCCATATAATTTACACTGCTTCAGTTTTATATATTTCATAAGAGATACATGTATTTTTGTTTGTGTTACAACTGCATTCTGATATTATTTTTAATGCTTTTATTGTAATAGAACGTAAAGCTTCCTTCGGTAAGCTATATAGATTTTTATGGTGTTATTATCTCTGGGTTCAATATACTATTACCCATATTTTATGTCATTTTTGTTTGGATCATTTGTTTCATTTATTATCGTATATAATATCATAAGAGAGAAAATTTGCTGGCAATATTTTCTACTAGTATGAAAGTTTGTTTTCTGGCAATTTTTGCGAATTAAATTTTAACAGTTAAATCAAGAGACGCCAGACGAAAGATTTTGTCAACATTTCATATGCGAAAATCGTCAAAAGACAACAAACTCGAATAAAACCAGAAGAAAATTTTGCCTGTAAATAATTTTCTCTCGAATTATATTCGACAAGACTATTTCACGAGACAGTTAATGCACCATTTTCAACGAAATAAATAAAATTTGTTAACAATATTAAATGTACAATTATTATAAACTACAGTAGTTTGCCCATTATTTTCTACCAAAGCATGATTTTGTGTATTATTAACCTGTAGCATTTGGGAACTCGATGGTTCAGCTTCGTTTGTTGTTCTGAAATTTTCGATCAACTTCTGGTGGTGGCTGGAATCCAGCTGGATATGGTTTTAGAGAGCTTGCATTTGAATGACCCGTTAATTTAATTAACTCCTATTCAGAAACACCTTGATTGAACAAGGCTGACACGGCTAAAGATCGATGGGAATGGTTTGTTATTTTATGTTTTTTTGTGCCTATTCCAATTTTTACAGCTGACATTTTTGTCCACTTAGATACGGTGTTGATTTCAAGTGGGCAGTTTTTAAACCCAAATCCATCCTTCCAGTTGGGGTGAACGGTAAGAAAGAGTCTGTCTGATAAAATCTGTGGTCCCCTTTTTTCCATTAATTTCAAAAATATGCTGTTGAAAGTATGCAATTAGGCCCGGAAATTCTCCCATAACATCAAATTCCTTCTAGAAAAAAAATTCCTTTCTTCTGAATCTTGCAGTTTACGACATCATTGCCTCTCCAAGCAAGTTCAAATGAACAAAGATAAAAAACTTTTTTTGTGCTCCATCGGGGGTCCTCGTCGTAGCTTTGAATGATTTTTAATAGTTCTTCGGAGGATAATGCTTTTGAACTAAGTTTTCTTTTTTCTTGAACACTTTGAAGCTATCGTCGCTTAGTATCTCTGGCCAATCTTGCACATTTGAAGGATATATCTGTCAAAGGGTCGATTTTTATGCCGTACTTCGTAAAATATTTGTCTTGTACCATTTTTGCTGTAGTATTCCACATTAACTTTATAGACGACTCTTTATAGTCTTCGCCATTGCCTTTTTTCATGTTTAAGGCATAATCCTCAAGAATTTTCACTAGTTCCGTTATGGTAGTACATCTTTCAAGCGTAAAATTTCTCACCCGTAGGAACTCCAAAAATTAGGCCCAAATAGAGCTTCTGAACCTCCGCGTGTTCAATGGCACATTTTCGGAAACCAATTTTTTTTATTTCTTCACCTGACTGACATCCAAATCTTGATTTTTTGTCTGGATTCATTATTTATGCCCAAAATTAATTACGCTTTAATGACATTTGTCGAACTGACAACAATAGAATCAGACACCTTCGTGACGGATGTGTCATAATTTTGTCGTTAAGAAATCACTGACAGGAAGGAGTTTTGTCAGTAGGAAACGTGGCATTTCTATGACGTTTGATCAATTAAAAATAGTGTAGTGAAATAGTTAAAAATAGTCAATAGTGAAATAATCAATTTTATTAATTTGTTAAATAATATTTCTTAGATAATAATTATGTTTTCATTTTAGTACTCGAATTTTACATTCGCTATTAGTTCTATATTATTTATCGACAATAAGTTTATTATTATTAGTACCCTCTATCTATAAAATATTGATGTTGTAGCCCAATTTCCTTTTACATTTAAAACTACTATGAACAATAATGGCCTTAACCTGTGTCTGTCTTAATCCAATGTGTTTTTTCCTCTTACTTTTTTTTCAATGGCGCTAAAGCCCAATTCGTGTCCTGACCTACCCATCATCCTCCAATAGCATCTCTTTCCTCGGCTGCCCACCCTCATTATCTCTGTAGCCACTTTGTCAATTCACTTTTTCCTTGATCTTCCTACTGACCGACGTCCCACGATAGTTCCACTGAGCGTTCTACTAGGTATTCTGTTATTACCCATTCTTATAAGGTGATCTGCCAGAGCAATCTACGTAATTTCTAATAATTTGCCATAGAAGGTTCTTTGTAACGCTGGTATAACTCGTGGTTGAACCTGTTTCTCCACATACCATTGTCGCAAATAGGTCCCAATGTCCTTGACAATATTTTTCTTTTAAAAGTACTAATACGGTTTATTGTTTTTTCTGTCATAATTAATATTTCTGCCCAATATGTGGCTATTGTTCATATGATGGTTTTATATATTTTAAACTTTACTCCTCTATGGATGTCTTTGAATGCTTTTAGCAAGCATTATCTTTCTTGGTATTTTTTTCCTTTCACTGCCGTCCTTATCACCGTTATCTGTACATCCAAGTATGTATGCTGTTGTACAACTTCAATATTTGCGTCGTCTTTTATCAAATTTTACAAGGTTCGGTGGTTTCTTGTTTGTATTAGGGATCAAGTTTTATCTCATTTGAAGACTGGACCTTTTTCTTTTGCATTTTCTCAAGTTCCACATAAACTTCTGTAATGGCTCTTACGGTTCGGTCCATCAAGTCTACATCATCTGCTTACAATACAATATGTTAAGACTTATTAAACCGTATATTTTTGTGTTTAGGAGCTTTTTATATAATATATTTCATATTCTTCTACTTTGAAGATGAAACAATTCCTTGACCGTTCAACCTGTTTTTGTCTAATGTTACACATCCGGGCAGTTGTTTTCTTCTGACCCTGCGTTTTCTTTTGATTTTGTCCTGAATTATCAACCGGAGTAAGCAATATTTAGGTTCTAATGTTCTAGTTCTCTCACGACTCGACACTGTGATCATAGAAACGAGTATAGAGGATCTACAACATCTTATCGAAAGCTAGAGTATAAATAGTGCTGAGATGGGAATTACTATAAACGCTAAAAAAACGAAGTACATGCTGATTACAAAAAGACCACAAAATATACATCACCTATTGACAATAAATGGTAACGTGATAGAACAAGTAGAAAAATATCAGTATTTGGGAACTTTGATCAATGAAACCAATGATCATACTGTAGAAATAAACAGGCGAATAGAGATTGCCAGATCAGCATTTATACAAATGAAGCCACTCCTAACGTGCAAAAATCTAAATTTGGAGATCAGACTACGTACCATTCGCTGTTATATATTTTCAATATTATTATATGGAACTGAGACTTGGACATTAAAAAAATGTAATTTAAAAAGAATCGAGGCCTTCGAACTCTGGTTATACCGCAGATTATTGAAAATATCATGGACTGATAGAATTACAAATAAAGAAGTACTGGAGAGGGTTGGTAAAGAAACAGAACTAATCACCACTATACAAACCAGAAAACTGGAATACCTAGGCCACGTGATGAGGGGACCAAAATATGGAATTTTGAGACTGATAATACAGGGAAAGATTCAAGGAAGAATTTTGAGACTGATAATACAGGGAAAGATTCAAGGAAGAAGATCTGTTGGCCGAAGGCAGAACTCATGGTTAAAGAATCTACGTGATTGGTACCAACGCAGATCGATTGATTTGTTTAGAGCAGCAAGTTCTAAAATAAAAATAGCTATTATGATTGCCAACCTCCGTAGAGAAACGGCACTCTAAGAAGAAGGTTCTCGCATTATATGACCGAAGTATTGGACCTTTTTTCATTTTGATGATATTGATCAATTTTCGCTCTTTGTGCATGGTCTCCAACACACTTTCAATAGATATGTGTGCTGTCCACGGGATTCTGAGCATGCGACGGTAACACCACAACTCGAGCGCTTCTAGTTTATTAAGATTTTTTTTATTTTTGTTGTCCAGGTTTCACATCCATAGAACAAAGCGGACCAGACGTACAACATTAATACTCTTATACATGTGGCCAATGACAAACTTCTACTACACAATAAAGAATACCAACTAATAAAGTTCTATTCTGGTCAAAATTTCCTCGTCAATTCAACTACTCAGATATCTAAAGTGTTTCATCCTTTCCAGGATTTTTTTATCTAATTTTATTGTTAAGTTTCCAATATTAATTTTTCCGACCACCATCCATTTTGTTTTTAGGTCTTCTAGGCTCTTTCCCATTATTGCAGTGTCATCTGCGTATCTGATGTTTCTCTAACGTCTCTCTTAGCAGACCCTCAAAATAGTTTTTCCAAACCGAATTTATTGTTGCATCGTTACTTATAATAATTTGTCCTTCGCTATGCCTAAAAGATTGGTGCATGGTTTATACTTCTCTCTTGAGTTGCTTAAGGTTTTTATATGCTTCTCTAGTCTTACCGTGGTTGAAATCTTCCTTAATTTGTAGTATTTGGTACTTTTCGTATCTCCTCTTCTTTTTTCTGCATCCTTTGTCTGCCTTTCTTCGTTCTTTTTAAAAATTTTCGCACCTCTCTTCTATTCTTCTTTAAGTATACTGCAAGTATAGTTCAGTTCTTTTGTTTATTGCTTATTTGCATTCTTCATCAAAACAAAACTCTTTTCTTTGATGGATTTCCATTACTCTTTTAGGCGTTTTCTATGTTAACCTAATAATCTTATTCCATTCTTCTTCTATTCCTATCTCTCTCTCTTCTCTCACTCACTCTCTCTCTCTCTCTCTCCATTCTAGGAGTTCTCTATTCAGTTCTTCACGCAATCGCCTTTTTATTTCTATATTTTTCAGATTTTTTAGGTTCAATTTTTTTATCTCTGGATGCTTGTTCTTTTTCCGTTGGTTTATATGGTATTTAAATTTTATTAGTAATAGAAATTGATTCGAACCACATACTGTTTCCTTCTAGCTCACACATCCATTACGCTTATTGCCACTGTTTTGTCTATAAACATATGGTCTATCTGATTTGTTATTAAACCACCCAGTGAGAGCTATGTGGCCTTAGTCTTATTTAGAGAAAAAGGTTAAGCTTATGATCATTCTCTTACTAGAAGAGACGTATACTACGAGTAGAAGGCTTCGATTTTCATTAGTTTATCATGGAGAATATGCTTGGCTATTCAAGGATATGTATACAATTCTTTTCCAGTCTCAGCATTCATGTCCCTGATTATTATATGTATGTAATTTTTTGGTGACTGGTTGTGTGCGGTTGGTAGATGTTGGTAGAAAATTTATTTTTCTTTCAGGTCCTTTTCTTTGGTGGGATAGTGAACGTTGGTAATTGTACTATTAAAGATGATTTAGTTAGTAATTTACACATCTTTTCACTAAAAGACTAAACTTCTAATATATTGCATTTTATTTTGTTGACCATTATGAACTTCACTCTCAGCTCTTTAGTGCTAGTTAGTCCATTACTTGTAGAATAGTGCGTGTTCTTGTTCTCATTGTCTAGCCTTTTAGTTTCTTGAGTTGCTGCAATTCTGATTTTGCATCTAAAAGGCTCACATAGTGTCCGCACGCCAGATTTATTAATGGTTCTGGTATTACACGATCGAATACCGAATTTCATAGTTCGTTTCCTAAGTCGCCGCCGGTCAATCCGTGTTATAGTCGGAGGTTCATCTGTTGTATCCGTAACTATAGTCTTTTTTCGGAGATGCGTAGTAGATCCATCGCTCAACACTCTTTTCGAAGGATCATTTCTCGCGCTCTGGATTGTCCTGACTCTATTTTCTACCGAGATTGGTTACGACGGTCTTCCACAGGGCTACTCATGTTAGCAGGGGTCCCCGCGTGGACCTTAAAGTACTGTGAAAGTAAAATAATTATTATTTTTTCTACATCTAAATATATATATATATATATATATATATATATATATATATATATATATATATATATATAATTTGATTCTGACTCTTAAGATAAATAAATTATTTAAAATTCTATTCGGATTTAATGTTTTGAGAAAGTGTCTCTTGAATAAAAATTGTATGTAATGACTACAATGCAGTAAATAATTTTTCATGTCATTTCAAGAAAAATCCCCTATTTATTGTACATATCTAGAATATAAAGAAATAAACAATAATAATAGTGATGCTGTCCATCAGCAGTAATCAAAAAAGTTGATTAATTAATAAGTCACCTAATTTAAATTTAATATTAAACACTATTAGCGTTACATATACAATGTACACGTACATAGTATATAAATATTAATACATATTTTTATTTTTCAGCTACTAATTTTCTTAGCACTTTTCGTTTCCTCATTCGGAGCTAAACTAAATCAATATCTTCCTCCAAGACCTGAAAATGACAACGCCCAATACCAACCTCCAGCACTTCCCAATCAATATTTTACCACAGCTAATCAGTTCCAACAACAATTCGTTACTCCAAATAGTCAGCAGTTTAGCACCCAGTACTTATCTCCAAATAAAGAGGAGCAGTCAAGTCAAGCTTCTAGTTCCTTCAGTCATATTTCTGAACCATCTGAGAAACCAGCTAGCCTCTTTGGTTATGAAAACTATTTTAATGGCAATAAATATGACAATACTAACAAACAATATATGGCTCTAAATATACAAGACGCTTCAGACCAAAGTTCTAGTTTCTTCAGAAACTTCCAGCATCCAATTCCGTCTAATATTAACAAGCATGTAAATTCTAGCAGACACTATTTCGCACCAAACAAAATAGACTCTTCTGGACACAGTTCTAACTTATTTCAAAAAACACAAAATCACAATTCTTTTAACAGCCAAGGATTGTATCCAAGCTTTGATTCAATATCTTCCAATCAAGTACCGATTACTGAAAACAGTAACTCTGCTCGACCATCATTTAACTCTCTTAACCAAAAAGCAACTTCTAATGTTCAATTTGAACATTTAAGTTCATTTTCCAGTAGGTTTCATCAACAGTCAGGACAAACTCTATTAAGCGGTCAATTTTCAGGTTCTCACTTCGCACCAATCGGGTTAATCAAATCTGAATTCAAATACAATACCTCAATGTCAAGTGCAAATAATAAATACCCAGAAAATGTAAATAGTAAGTATCAAAAAAGTGTACAACGCGAACAATCTCCATTTGCTTCTCAAGAAAATAGACAAGTAGCATATTTCTTAAATCCAAAACCCCTTTTAGGACAAAACAACGATTATCCTTATTCCAATCTATCCAAATCAAACAACGTTGCTGATCAACATACATTTTCGTCCCAACAAAGCAATAAATTATTACCATCTACATCTTCATTTGGTTTTCCAACAAAATTTAGACAGCAAAAATGTGCTCCTAAAGATTTTGTTAAACAAACTATTGGTTATCAATATCCAGTTCCTGAAAAATATCCTTTTTCTTATCAACAAAACAAGCAAGTCGCTGCTTTTGGACACCAATTTACCCCAAGATTTCAGTACGGGGCTCCTGAGCAGTCTTCATCGCCCAGTCAAGAAAACGGACAGTTCAATTCATTCCAAGGACTAAATAGCCAAATCTCAAGTTTTCCTACAAACCAAGGATTCAAGAGCCAAAACAGAGAACAACAGAAAGATACATCTGGACAATTTGGCACGGTTCAAGATAGCTACGGTGGTTACAAATACTAGACAATGATTTATTATCAATTATGTATATATCTTTATTAATATATGATTTATTATTTATGTTGTTGCAAATGTAGATATGTAAATACAGAAACTTAATGTTTTTTTAAATGAATTAAATTTTTATAACGAATATGATTATTATATTAATTACTTGATCGAAATATTTTTTATGATATTTCAGTATCTATGCTAGACCAATATTTAAGATGGATTAATTTAAACCATCAAAATTGAACAAATTTGGTTAGCTTAAATAGTACATATGGACATACCGACAGTATACAACAGATGATAATCAAAAGAAGAAAATTTAAGTGGAAAGACTATGCCACATATCATCGCCTAAACAGAGAGATAAGAAAAGTTATCACGGAAGCTAAAAACAGGATTCTGGAAGAACTATATGAAGACATTAAAATGCCGGGACACTTAACAGACACGCAAGGAAATCCAATATTTGATATTGAAGAAATCAAAACAACATAGATGAATTATGTGACAACAACATTTGAAGACAGTAGGAGTGTCGCTATCATCCAAAATAAAAATGATACCGGACCACCTATTCTCAAAGCGGAGGTAGAAGCTGCTATAAACAGCATTAAGGAGTGAAAAGCCGCAAGGCTAGACGACTTCTATGTAGAATTTTTAAAAATCATGGACAAAGACGCAGTAAAAAGACTTTGTATTGTTCTGAAGCTATTTTCTTATGGCATTGTAAATTAATTACTATTAAACTGGGAATAAGCCACAATTAAAGATAAAAATACGTTTATTGACGTTTCAATTTCCACTTCGGAAATCGTTCTCAAAATACAAACAGTAAATTAAACAAATTTTGTTTTTTGTTACATAGTGAAAAATTCTTCTAATAATTTAATTTTATCTGACTCATTTATATTGACAATTCAGACATACATTATGCATTTTAAAGTAGACGACTTTAAAATGATATTGCCAATATTGTTGAGTTGCGCTCCTGGGACGACTTTACTTATAAGATAGTTCATTCGATTACATGAAATCAACTTTAACTTGAGAATATCCGTCAGAAAAAAATCATAGCATGTAATTCGTCTTTAAAAAGACAAACACATGACATGATGACAGTAAAATTCTCCTGTTAGTGATTCCATAGTAAATTATGAGGGAAAACCAGGAAAAAAACCTCATAATACTATCCCGACATTGTAAGTATTTGTTCGTGAATTTAGTTTACCTTCAACAAACATCAAAATTGAAACGTCAATAAACGTATTTTTATCTTTAATTGTGGCTTATTCCCAGTTTAATAGTAATTAAAAAGACTTTGATCTTCAACAATATATATACCAGAGAGGAAAAATACAACAGTGGCTTAGATCAACCTAATGCGAAAAAATGTGAAAACTATCCAATAATAAGCCTTATATTCTAAACCATCTCCTGAAAACTTTGTTAAACATTATACATTAAAGAATATATAAAAAGTGTGAGTAAGACTTGAGACTAACACATAATTCGGCTTCAAGGATGCACTGGGTACTCGAGAGACAATTTTACAATATAAGTTCTTTGTCAACGATGTAGAGACGTGAATTTGTTATATATGGCAATTTCGGTCAAAAACAACTTCAAACTCTTAAGAGATATGTCGTGTAGTAGAAAATGTATAATCCTGAAAATTTACCAATCATTATGCAACCAAATTATTCGGTGAGCAAAATTTTTATAGATGAACTGGAAGATATTATTTGTAACTAAATTAAAATCTGCAGCAATATGATTTACGGCCCAACCACAGTAGCTCTAAGACTCATTGCATTTGTTGTAGCTAAAGTAAACAAATTGAAGATACCAAAATCATGGACAGAACGTAGAATGGCTGGTATCGTCTGTCTTTGTGGATTTATCAAGGGAAAAAATTTGAGCACACGACAACCTAAGTCATGTGGAGCGCTTACCCGTGTTGTGGATATTGACAGTTCTTTGGATGAAAGTGAACCAGTTTTGAATTTGGGAGATCGTGCTCATAATGATTCTTGGATAGGACCAGTGGATGATGAAGCATTTGACTGCAATCGTGACCCCGTAAAGGGTGACCATGTTTTAGTGAGATTTAAAAAAAAAGTCCAAAAATATCTTTACGTGGGACGTGGTATCGTGCAACAATTCAGAAGTAGAGGTCAATTTTATGCGCAAAACCAACAAAATAGGTGCCTCATGTTTCGTATTTCCCACTGTTCCTGATATTGCTTTCGTAAAGAAAGATGTCAGATTTGTTTTTCCAAATCCAGCGCCATTTCACAATAACAAGAGACTGACCGCATCTTACAATAAATTTGAAATAAATTTTGGTCACCTAGACGTTCGCTAATAAACCTTCAATTCAGATATCAGCTCTTATGGCTCTTGTGTTTTCTTGGGAAAAATAATATTTATAATGGGAAATTATAATGATTATTTTTTTTATTATTCCTATCGAACTATGGAATATATCATGTGCCTCACCGTGTACCAGTAATATTTATATACCAGGCATTTATATTTATGAAAGTGATATATAAAATACCACAAATCACTGTTGCTGAAGCTGTCAGTTCTTATCGATGATTAACAAAATTAAATTGACAATAATTTTTCGTCTCACTATGTACCACCTTCCCCCATATCCAAATCGAATAGCTTTGCTAATCAAGAATATTTGTGTCCCAATAAACCAACAAAGTGATTCCATATGTAGGAAAACATGCATCTAAATGCAGTTATGAATAAAACAGTAAAAACAAAAAATACCAAAATTTAGCTCTCAATGTCTTCAAATTTAAGTTTGCAAGTCAAGGTAGGTACTTTCGTTTCACAACGAAACCAAAACGTAGCTCAGTTTGGTGGGCAGCATAAATTTATTGGAAAGTCAAATGAATCAAAATGTGTATTTGGCTTCTTAACACAATTTAGTAGGCGAAATGGAGCTCTTAAAACTTTTGGTAAACAAAATAATGTTTATTACTATTCAGCTCCTGACCAATCTCCCAAGGTATCTCAAGGATCTGAAGTTTCGGCAAAATCTCAGTACGTTGTTTCTGACTAGTCATCGCCAGTCAGCCAAAACAATTCACTTCATTTCAAATATCAAAGAGCCAAGTAACAATTTTTCTGCAAACAATGGTTTGAATCGTCAGTTATCATTTTAACCCATTTGGTCTCACTGTAATCGTCTAAGTACAGCAGTAAAAATAGCCTAGTAGTGACACATCTGGTAAAAAAATGATACTTCACGAGTATGTCCGATTCTATTAGGAAGTGTTCCACTAGATTTTCACAAATTATACCGTAGGTGGCGCTCTTCGTCCTAATTTTTCCCGCAGTAATTATAAGCTAACCGTCATATTTCTGTTGTATTATTGAAGTGTTTGCTATTTTGTGATTTTGATACTATTTATCATTTTTTTAACTTTTATTGGTATGAGGGTAAGTACTAGTAATGTTTATTTATTTAGTATAAGATTTTTTTTATTACTGTTGTTTACAATATTATTATTGGAATGGATTTTCAAGAATTACCGCCTATTAATCCCATTGAGTTTTATGGAAAACGTTATAGAACGCTTGCTTTAGCTTCAGATGACTTAGCGAGTTCCACTCATACAGATGTTACTCACTCGGTGGTAGTTATTCCTCCTGAGACTGACTATCAAACTGACAATGAGGACATAGATGAGGATGATTTTCAGACTCAAAGCCTTCCGAATGACGTCCCCGGAGAAATAGAGGTTCATTACATGAGTGATGACTCTGATAACGACGAAGAAGACAATCTTCCTCTTGCCATTGGAAGAGAAAATTTACTGAAGGGTCAAAATAAAACCAAGAAATCTGACTGGATGAAAGAAACTACTGATATTAGTATGACATCTACAACAGGTTACGAGGGTCATCTGGATAATATGAAAGAACGAATCCGACGTAAATTTCCTATAAAAATATTTGAGAAATTTTTTGACAATGAAATTATTAAATATATTACAAAGCAGACAAATTTATATGCCGCTAACAATAATAATCATTAATTTCATGTAACGCAGGAAGAGATAAAGATATTTCTGGTTATTTTACTTTTTACTGGATACCATAGATTGCCACGAGAGCGCAACTACATATTGGTGTTTAGAGGAAGATCTTCAGGTTCCCTTTGTGACTAATGCAATGTCAAGTAACCGTTTGCAAGAAATTAAAAAATACCTACATCTGGCAAATAATTTGTAAATTGATACAAGGGACAGAATGTGTAAAGTGAAGCCTCCCATGAACAAAATAAATAAAAAATTTTAACAATTTGGCATATTTCACAAAGACTTATCAATTGATGAAGCGATGATAAAGTATTTTGAGCATCACTCATCTAAACAGTTCATAAGGGGAAAGCCAGTAAAATTTGGGTACAAGGACTGGATGCTTTGTAGTTCAACTTGTTATTGCTACAATTTTGACACATATTGTAGAGCATTAGTGGAAAAATCAAAAGTCGCGGCGTTGCCTTTAGGATCACAAGTTGTTCTAAAAATTCTTGACGGCGTTGATGTGCCTACTGGCACAAGTATTATTTGACTATTTGACAATTATTTTACTAGTTACAATTTCATGGAAACTTTAAAAGAGAAGGGCTTTAGCGCATAGCAAGAGAAAATCGTTTCTCTTGCTGTGTATAAAAAAATTTCCTTTGTTACCTTCCACTGTAATTAAAAACTGCCGACTACCATATATTCGTACGTGAGCGATATCAGCGGCAGTCTCGATTGTGTACAAGACCGCAATTGTTTTTAGTGTTCCTTAGTAATAGTTTAGATATTTAAAGATAATATAAACACAAGTAACTGTCTACATTTACCGTAGTTCATTGTCAAAAATAAAAATGTTTTTAAAAAGTAAGGTAGGGGCCGAACGTAATATACTGTCGAGGGGGCGATTGTAACGTTACAACCGACCCCGCTAAGGATTTTAAGCATTCTGGTTTCTTAATTTATTATTATTTTTTTATTTTCAGAATGCCTTGTACAAAAATTAGAAGAGTAATAGAGGTTCCAAAGATAATGCAACTTATAAAGCTGCATACGCCGAAATAAAAAATGGTATATCCAAAGAAGTAGGTACGATTTGTGTCATGTTTCTTTAAGACGATTTAAAATTAAACAGGAAGCACTAGGTGAGGGTTTAAATAATTCTGTTTCCATGGGTTATAGAGCTTGGGACAAAGTTTTTACCGAAAACCAAAAAAAATATGGCAAATTATATTGTAAGAGCGGCAAACATATATTATGGTTTTTGTCCAAAAGAAATCAGAAAGTTTGCATATGAATTAGCCAATAAATATAAGTTAGCAATGCCACCAAAGTGGGAGCAAAACCAGATGGATACAGAAGATTGGTTCAGCAGATTTATGAAGTGACAACCCCCCAGCTCTCGTTAAGGTGTGCACAATGAACAAGTTTAGCTTGTGCCACCAGTTTTAACGATAATAATGTTTCCAGTTTTTTGATAATTTGCAGAAAGTTATGGACAAATATAAATTTTAACCTAAAGACATAAACAATATCGATAAGACTGGGATCACAACACGCCAAAGGCCCAATAGAATTATCACTAAAAAAGGGAAAAAGGCAAGTTGGAGCATTGACGTCTGCCGAACGTGGAAACTTAGTCAACTTAACCTGCGCGGTAAATGCTGTTGGAAATTTTGTTCCTCCGACGTTTATATTTACGAGGATTCGTTACCAGGAACATTTTGTTCAAGATGGTCGAACTGGAAGTACAGGCGTGGAAAAAGCAAGCGGGTGGATGCAAGAAAGTGAATTTCTTAAATTCTTACAACACTTTCGGAAATATACGTCAGCAACGACCGATCACAAAATACTGCTGCTACTAGATAATCACGCATCTGATATTTGTATTGAGGCACTGGGTTATTGCTCTGAGAACGGCATTGTTGTGTTATCCTTCCTGCCTCACTGCCCTCATAAGTTACAACTTTGGATCGCACTGTATATGGGCCATTAAAAAAAGCAATTCATTTGGGCTGCGATTCATGGATGCGAAGCAATCCAGGGAAAACTATGACCATTTATAATATCCCATCTATAGTCGCTGCAGCACTTCCGATAGCACTGACATCCAGAAACATCCAAGGAGGCTTTAGATGCACGGGAATATTTCCCTTTAATAGGAATATATTTACACCTTTAGATTATGCACCGTCTTATGTCACAGATCGCCCTCCACCAGCAAATAAAGTGACCAACGATGTTAAAATTAAGACAATCAGAAAAGATACAATGAACCTACACCAGATAACCAGAGAAATAACCTACACCAGCGACATATTTTTTTGTCACAGATGAAACCAACAATAAACAAAATAATATTCCTACAGCGTCAACTTCACCTGTTTCTTCAGCTAAGGAGTTTACACCGAAAGCAGTCAGACCTTTCCCCAAAGCTCCGCCTAGAAAAGAAGGAAATAAAGTAAAAAATCGGCCTTATACACAGATACCACTGAAAAGGAAGAAATTAGTAATGTTAAAGAAATTAAATGTAAAGGTAGTGGGGGCAAAAATATTGTTAGACAGGAAGTGCCATCTTGAGAGGCCAAATTAAACAAGGAAAGAGAGTCTTTCCTTGTTTAAGAAATCAAATGGATTTGGGTTATGTTATTATTTGTCCCAACTGTTACCAAATCTTATTTATATTGAAGTTTTTTAACAATTGTTTCACATTTTAGACTGTTATCGTTAATATTTAATTAAAACTTTCTCGTCTAAGACACATTCTGAAAACTATTTTATAGCTACTATAAGTTTTTGTTTTTATTTTACGTAAGAATATAACTTGTTTTGTACTTTTGTATAACTTTTGTTTTTATATTAAATAAACATCAATTGTTTAAGCTTTTGATCACAGTTACTATCGTCCCCACGTGATGTTACAACCGCTCCGGAGTGGGTGGCAGTTGTAACATTTGCCGCTACGAAAATTTTTCACAAATAATTAAAAACTATAGATATTTAAAAACATTAATAACCTAGTTTAATATTGCTTAAACATGCAATTAAGGCCTGAACGAGAAAATTTGTTTATATCTGTTATAGTTTTCCGAAATTGGTGTTTGAATTAAAAATGTTACTTTCGACCCCGGTTTACCCTACGTCGTTATTTAAGAAGTTTTGGGAAATCTACTTATTCTAGAAACAACTTCGTTGTCGTTTATGATATCAAAAAGTACGTCGGATTTGTATAAAGTATGTGAAGTTACTCTGTGTATTGAATGCGATTGTTTTGTACAATTTCATACTAGCTAGATACAGGATATACCCAAGTATGTCCCTATAGTGTAAGAAAATAAAATATTTTCATTTTTACACAATTTTTTATATTTTTGACTCCGGATCAGCCCGTTGTACTCGTATGAGTACACCTATTTTTTGGTAAAAATTTAAATTTTTTCAAGTCAAATAACAATGAATTGTTACTATTTAACGCATATCCAATAAGGAGATTTAAAAAAATCTTGTATTATCGAAAAAAATGTCGTGGGATCAAATTGGTTAAAAGCACTATTATATTATTATTTATCTATGGTTAAAAGCAAAGTTTAACACATACCTGGAAGATTTGCAAAAAGTTTAATAGAGCAATGGTGGTTACAAATAGATTATTTAATTTGTATATAAAAATATATTATTTATGTTTTGCAAATAAACTTACCAAATAATCTACTCTTGAAGTTTATATAAAAACACCACACAGAGTACTTGCTGTGTTGCAACATTTTTGGTTGTCTATATACTAGGAGGACATTATGATAAGAAAACTTCAATTTGACCTTTGACGTTTTATTTACCTGTTGCAAAGAATATAGATAAGCGTCTATATTCTTTGCCTGTTGTGTTTGTAAATTGGTGTTAGGACAGTTAGGTTATGTTTAGATCCTTAATATCACAACTTATAACTAGATTTACTAAAATGAGTAGTAAATTTAGCTGAAATTATTACTATTGTTAGCTAGTAATAAAGAATTGAAGTTGTCCTACCCAACTG